GAGTAATATTATGATAGTAGCTATACTATATACTAAAATCTGTATATGAATGGTTTGAAAGAAGGTCGGAATTTGGGGGGGATAATCGAGAAGACACTGAGATGTAAAAAACAAATAATTGTAAGCAAGTATGTAACACGATGTCTGATAAGCACAAACAATGTAGATAGATTGGAAAATTAATAAAAAAATGTTAAAAAGAAGAAGAAGAATGAATTCATTGCTACCAATATATATATATTTTAATGGCAGTGTAACTTTTAGGTTATCCTGGCTAGAACAGCCACTATTTGGGAATTTGGGAACCTGTTGTTCATATAAGCAATTTTCCCAAACTTTAAACAGATTACATCCTGAGTTAACAACACCAATACCATTTCTTCTGATTTTTTTGTTCCAATTTTTTAAGTGAGGAAGAAGTCAGTGAGAGATGCAGAAAAAATGAAAGGTACAAGAAAGTAGGCAAGGAAAAAAAATCTGTTTTATTATAAGGCTAGGGCCAGAAACACAGACCTTAATTAGCACTGATTATTGGCTGATTGATTTTGGTTTGTAACACCAGACTTTGAAGGAATCTCCTGCTTCAATCTTGAAAACCAATCACCAAATGAAGCAAGCTAATCTGCATAATCGTGGAAGTGAAAGGAGTTTATGCTGTGACACATAGATGCTCACATTCGTTAAGAATTTCCCTTTCTAGTCATGGGCTATTTCTAACATTTGTGCCAGGCCTCAGGATTGGTTCTACCTTGAATAGTTAGTTCTGAAAAAGCTGAACAATATTATTTCTGAAGACTATCAAGTTCAGTGGAAATCCAAATGATCCACCCACTTCCTGAATGCTGGATGACCTCACTGGGCAGGACAGCAACCCCTGATGTTAGCAAGTCTCTGGAGGAAATAGCAGCCAAGATCTTTTAGATAACACTCCATCCAGAAACCGGGCTTTGCCCTCCACTTGGTCTCACTTTGACTGGGAAGCTAATGCTCTTAGTTGGGGCAGATTCCTAGTAAGGAAGGACACAGAGCAAGCAAAGCAGCCAGTGCAGGTCTAGGCTGAGAACCTCTGTGGACTGAAAGGGGAGGCTCTGCAGCCTAGCTCAGCACAAAACCTGTAACAGTAGAGTGATCTGCAGTCTGACCTTTGCAGATGTAAGCATCACTTGAAGAAAAGTATTAATTAACATTGGCATTTACTGGAGGATATACCTCCTTGAAAGTAGAAACCATTAATTACTCACATACATATTAAGAACTTTAATTGCTCTGTGGTTCATTGCAATAAGTATTTAAAACCACCAGAATTATAATTTCTGATAGGAAGATATCCCTTGTGGAAAAAGTGTACATTGCAAACACTTGGAGAAAAACCTTTTTGTTCTTTTTTTTAAAAAAACACACAATCCCACAGGCAACTAAAATATTTCTTCAGGTATTTCACCACATAGCGGTGCTAATGTCATTTATGCCTCTGAACGCTCCTGTAAAATGTTGTGTATAACACAAAGTCATATGGAATTTTAGAAAATACTTCGGAGAACAAATGGAAGTGTAATCATCACCATAATGCAACTGGGAAATTGTTTGTTAAAAAGAAGAAGCAGTGAAAGATTTATTTGCCTTTTCAAAAAAAAAAAAAAAAAAAGGAAAGGAAAGGAAAGGAAAGAAAAAGATTGCTGAGGTAAGGTGACAGAAAGAACCTTAAACTGGGTATTTCTATTCCAGGGTGGGAAATCTCCAGAGATCTTCAGGTTGCACATGTCTATCCCTAAACCTTGGTTTGCTTTCACAATCCTCACCCCAATTTTTTTCTTACAAAAATGAGGGCGGAGGAGGTACTGAAAAGACCACTTGTCTCAAGTAGAAATTTTTTTGTTAATGAGGTGGGGGTAGGGTTGGTGTGTGCCCCTCAAAACATGGCACAACTGCCACCCATGCCCCTGGAAAGAACAAGAAGACTTTTTGAGTCTCGATTTTATTTTATTTTATTTAAGAGGGTGTAGTGAGGTGGGGGGCACAGGTATGCTGAGGGCTGCTTTCGGGCCCCATGTTACCCACCCTGCTATTCCAAGGGTTAAACAAGGCTGCCAATTTTTTCACTTTATTTTGAAAGAGCACCCCTGCCCACCAGTCCCTTTAAAATAATACTTTTAAAATAGGGATTCTGTATTTCAGAAACTACGTATAGCTAACAGCAGGATATTATTTGAGGTAAAAGAAGATATGATATAGAAGAGCCACAATGCAGCGACACAATCATACAGGACAGGGTGTTAATTGTTCTCCCAAATCCCATACTACGTATTTTCCTGACAGAAAGCACTCCCCTTGGGAAAGCATATGTCTACCTGCATGGTACCTGTGTGTTTGCCTCTGTAGGGAAAACAGAAGTGTGAGCAGTAGAAGTGTAACATTGAGGCATAGAACATTTCTTAATGCCTTCCGAATTGCCTAATCGAAATCAGGCAGCTTTCAATTTTTTTTTTAAAGGGGAGGATAAATACTCAATATCTGGGCAATTAATTTTGCATATTATGCCAATTGGACAGTCCAATTTGCATAATGTGCAACTTTGCGTGGTATACTAATTAATGTGATTTTTCAAGTTATGTGAGAAAAGCAGATTAATTCTTGCATTATTTTTCTATGGACATATTTTAGCCTCAGAATCACTTATACTGTACCATAAAACCACTGATCGGAGGGAGTCAATAAAATGCAGTGGTTAAGCATGTTGGCCTTTGAACAAGGAGATGCAGATTCAAATCTCTGCTCAGTCACAACTCTCATTTAGTATTCTTACACCACCCAATACTTGTCAGCCAAACATGCCTTACAGCATAGTTTTCAAATAAAATGGATAGAGAGGAACCTTGTAAGACAACCTTGTAAGACAACCATTGCTAATGCATGGAAATAAACAATGACATTCTGCCATGTACATTGAGCTCCTGATAATATTCTTATGAGGTGGCTATTATTATTTTTTTGCCATCAGTTTTTCCTGGTGGCAAAAAAGCAAAGCAAAACAAAACCCCTACAGTTGCATGCGCGTATCACAAAATCAGTGACACGCTGTCATCTGATTTGCAGGAAATAATGCACAGGGTGCAGAAGATATGCAGAGGAGAAGCCAGTTCTTCAGAAACATAGATAGAATATTTTATAATAATTAGAAAATATCCTAAATTAACTCTTTTTGCCATGTGTGACCCAATATGCATTCTGCAGTGAATTCTGTGGGGTTTTTTTTTCATGGTCTGCTGCCCACATCCTTCAGTTTGTACTAAAGTATGTCCTGTCTCTGGGATCATAGCAGCTCACCCGCAACCAGAAGGCAAAACGGCTGTGAGAGCTCCTGGGTAGCTGCAGGAGGATCACAGGCCACTTTCTGCTCAGTGTGAAGGCTGATTCCTGCTGCAGAAGAGCATAGCAAAAACCATGGATGTCATGTTCCTGCCTGTCCCTTGGCTGTTTCACCAATCAAAGGGTACAAGCTACTGTACGTGTCGTGTCGCTGCCACCAGTTGATTACATCAACATTATTTATTATTAATCACAGAGGTCCAGGCAATGTGTCATTTTAAAAAGAACCAAATAGAAGTTGTTTATTAGTACAGGCGATTAAGGTACAATCAATGTCTTTAACTCTGAACAAAACATCCTATTTCATCCACTCTCAACCGCCAACCCTCTCTCTCCGCTTAAACTCCAAAACCACCAATCCTCCTGTCTCTCTATCTAATCTCCAATCTCCAATCTGAATCTCTCCTCCCCCTGCAGAGACTCTTACAGCTTGTGACTCCGCCTCTAGAGCACTCTCATTGGTCCATGTACATTAATATTCATGACCTGGGCTGCTCTTGTGTTTTGAGATCCTTTATGGCAGTGGTTCCAACTTTTTTAACCCCGCAGACCAGTTGAGGAAGGCGCCCCCCCGTGCTCATGCACATGTGTGAGGGTGCGGGCATGCACACTTGTGTGCATGCACAAAGGAGCAGGAGGGCGCTTGTGCAGGTGCACTCATGCACATGCATGAAGGGGGTCGTGGTGTTTGTGCAGGGGGTGTGCACTCATGCGTATGCACAAAGGGCAGCATGGTGCTCGGGGGCACTCATGTGCATGCACAAAGGGGTGGGGGAGTGCTCGCATGGGCGCAGGCGTGCTCACGCAGGCACAAGAGGGCTGTGCAGGGAGGAGTGTGTGGGGGTGAGGGGGAGGTCTATCTCTGTGACCCAGTCCAGCTCAGGCTACAGACTGGCACCGGTCCGTGATCCAGAGGTTGGGGACCTCTGCTTTATGAGACTTAAGGCCCTGGCAAAAGTTTACTGTTCTCAAAATCCAGTGAAAGGAAAATATGTTGATTAATCTTCAGCCTACTCCCAAGGCACAAAATGGAAACCCATCATATAATACTTATTATAGGTTTATAAACTCAGACTTAAAATAACAAAGTCTTACACACAGACAGACAGACAGACAGACAGACAGAGGTCATGCTTTAAAAACATTAAGAATTTAGGGAATTACTTTCTTGAACACTTTCACTTTCTTACCTGTCTTTTAAGCTATTTTTTCTTTTCCATTATTTATCTATATTCACAGCATAAGACTGCATTGCCTCCTACTTTCTTCTAGTAATTAGATAACTATGGAGGTACATGCTGGTGGACACTTACTATTGAATCCCTGTCTTCAAAGAGATTCAGAAATTTATTGTAGCTGAGATGCCCCGTGTGTTCTGGATCAATTATCTTGATTAATTCTTGAAAATCATCATCACTAATTCGGAACATGATGCAATCTAAAATGCGGCGGAGCTCATTTCTTGTGATCTTTCCATCTTGATTCTAGAAATGAAGCAGGTATAATAGAGCATTTAGCACAGTCTTACAATTACTTTCCATTGTGATGTTAATCTTCCAAGGCATATTTTATTTCAATATTTCTTATGATCTTCCACTCTGTTACACAATAGGTTTTTTGGGGGGGAAGGGGAAGTTATGGAAGAAAGGCTACTGTTAGTTTTATTATTCTATGATGGATATGTAAGTGGAAATGGTGCATATTTTCTGCCACAGCAACCTGTGCTGGAACAACATTTGAAAACAGAAAATCCTCTTTCTTTACATGGTAAGTCTGACTTTTAAAATAATGGTTCTGCATGGATCACAATGTTGTGTACTGTTTCTTTGTTTAGCCATGCAGCTGTCCAAGGACTAAACACAAAACACTAAGCTGAACAGTAAAGTTATTTACTGTTTTATGATTATTTGAATTATTTTCTATTACAAGGTTGTCTCCACTTGAAATTGAGAATGACAAAAAAACTGGTTATAAATAAGCAATTCATAAATAAGGAACATCTATTCCATTTTCTGCTAGAAATGACTATGTAAAATATATGTATCTAAACTTGTTGAACTTTTTTCCCAAGTCACACTTTTTTTCTTGGCCTTGATCCTTGTTATATACAATTTCTGAAACTGAATGGATGTTTCTGTAAATGTTCTAGAGTTAATGAGCAAAGGACATTTTGAAATATCATCTCATATCCATATACAAAAGGAAATATATTTGATAGGCACCCTAACACAATAAGAGGACCGACTTACATAAGAGCAACCAAGGACCAGCTCAAAACATTTTGCTCCTCAAGATAAAGGACAGAATGCTGCCTCTCCCAGTCTCATACAAAACCAACAAAACTGCCAGTTGAACTTTGTTTGCATACTGGTGACATGAGAGTGTCCTCCATTACACTTAAGGGCTTTAGAGGAGACTTTCCATTCTGTGCCTCTCAGCAGTTGCTGCTTCACTGTCCGTGTCATGCTAAAGTTGTAGTTTCTGTTCACATTATGAGCCCCTGTGGTAAAGACAGCTGTCCCCTTTAGATGGAGAAAGCTAGAATGGGGCAGCATGACTAGCTTGATCTCCTTGCTCACCCATTCAGATTCACCTCCAGTAGAACATCTGAACTGGATTTTCAAATTTGCATAGCCAGTCATTGATAAAAGTGCTAAATAAAAAAGCTCTAAATTAACTCAAACCCAGCATCTGTTTTCAATGAAAAGGCTCAGTCCATATACTTATTTAGACATGATCCCCATAGTCACAATCTCTCCTCATTCCCTCCCATCACACACACACACATCTATTTAAAGCTCAAAACACACGTGGCATGGCTTAAATGTCAAGATGCTATCCCACCTGGCTATGAAGAAACCAAACTACAGACAAACATTTTGCCCCATCCTCCTTCCATGTGGTAGGAGAAATAGAGCATTGTAACTGGTTCACCTACATGAAAGGGGCATACATGAAAGTTAAACTAGATGGCACATTAAATGTCTAGTGTGCAGAGATGATTTAATATCAATTTTACATAGATATGAATGTACGTGAGTTCTTGTTCTTGTTAGGTGCTGTCAAATCACCTCCAACCTATGGTGACTCTATGAACAAGAGATCTCTAAAATGTCCTATCCTCCAACAGCCCTGGTTTAGCTATGGCTTGCCCTAGGGAGTCAATCCATGTCTTATTTGTTCTTTTTTAACTGCCATTTTCCACCTTTCCCAGAATTTTTGTCTTTTCCAGAGAATTCTGCCTTCTCGTGATGTGCCCAAAGTAGGACTGCCTCAGGTTCAACATTTTTGCCTCCAGAGATAGTTCAGGCTTGATTCGATCTAGGGTCTACTTTTTCATCCTTCCAGCAGTCCAGAGTATTCACAAAGCTCTCCTTCAGCACATTTCAAACAAATCAGTTTTTCCCTCTCCAATTTCTTTGCTGTCCAGTTTTCACAACCATACATCGTGATCGAGAATACAAGAGTGTAGGTGATCTTGGTCTTGGTCTCCAGTGACACATTCTTACACTTGATAATTCTGTCTAATTTCTTCATTGCTGCCTTTTCCTAGTCTTCTTCTGATTTCTTCGCTAAAGTCTCCATTTGGATGGACGACTGAACCAAGACATACAACATCTCTAACTATTCCAGGTTCTTCATTATTAATGTTAAAGTTGTGTGGTTCTTCTATAGTCATGTTTTTCTTTGTCTTCCCAAAGTTCAACTGCAATTCCTGCTTTAACATTTTTTTCATTCATTTTCACTAAAAGTCATTTCAAGTCATTCCTGCTTTCTGCCAGTAAGATGGCATTATCTGCATGTCTTAAATCGCTGATGTTTCCCACACCAATTTTCGTTTCTTCTTCCATTTAATCCATTCGGGCTTTCTGTATAATATTTTCACAGAGATGTAATCTTCCCACCATTTCTCCCACTAAATCCCATGAACATGAGCTTTTCTAGAGAGAGAGAGAGAGAAGAGGAGAAGGAGGAGGAGGAGGAGAAGGAAGGGGAGAGTTTCAAAATTCCCAAAGATGTGTGTGGCAAGCCTGAGCTAGAACAGGCCCCTTGCATACATACTTGATGGGTGAGGGTTAGAGCAGGTATTCACTCTGCATCATCTATTTAACATTGAATATAACTTAACTTTCAAAAGTGTTATGCTGCAGCCTAGAGCACAGAGAGATAAAGATACCACTATCTCTTTATGTAGCAACTACATTGCTGTACTAGGAAAAGGAAGGAGATGGGTTAGGGTGGAGGAAATCTGTGCTCCCCCATCCCTTGTGAGGCTGCTGCTTTGTAGACATCAGCATTCATGGCCTAACCACACTAGGATTGCTCTCTCTGTTGCCACACAAATTCATATGCCTGTGAGAATGTTAGAGTGTTCTTTTTTTCACTCTTGTTCTTCCAGAGAGTCAGAGCGGCTATAATAACACTGTAAACAATTCACTTCAGGGTGGGTTTTGAAGTACTTATTTTCTAACCAAGAGATAACCACCTTGCAAAACTATTACTGTTCTTTAACTGTTTTCCATGAAGCATGGTCTGGTTGCATTAAATTTTCTGGAGAAGAAAACTGATAGTAGTAAGTTGAAGAAAATTAAATGATTAGTTTTACTTCTAAAGCAGTGCTAAATGAAAACGTGCCCCAGTTCACCACCCCATTCACATACTGGGATATATTTGTTTCCCACCCTTTGGGGCTTTTGTGTTGTGTGACAGCTTCAATTTTCTCCAGCAATGGTCTGGGATGACACTTTGCTGGGGAAAACAAAACGATGACCAAGCTGATGACAGGATAACTGTTGATGTTGCAAAAGAAAAAAAGAAAAAAGAGAGGGTGAGACAATACCTGCCATTTAACTCTGAAAACTATGCTAGATCAGCAGTGATTCAGCATTTCATGCAGTTCCCAACAATCTCATCTGCTCCCTGTAGCTCCCATAGCTGTAGATGGAAGTCCTCAGTAAGGATCTTCTAGATTAGTTATAAATAGTGAAGGAAATATTTTGTAGCTCCAAGTGGTGCAATTCGATAAGAATATGGCAGTTTCTGCATTGTAGAAATGTTGAAACTTAAGGGCTTGGTTTTTTCAAAGGGAATGAGCTGGCACTTTCACAATGACATACAGCAGAAATGTTGAGGCAGTAGAAAATTGAAAGACAGCTTTTATGGTAGCACAGATAATTTGAACAGCTGAATCAGTCATAGCAAAGATATGATTGGATTATAATTTTATGAAGTTATCACTTCATAAGTTTGAGACTTCAAGTTGCAGTAAGCGATGGCTGCTCGCCTAATCATCACTAGGTAAAAGCGATAGCGCCTGCAAGGCACAATGGGGCACGGAATTCCTGACTCTGGATGCTTTGATTCACTGAGCGTTCTCTTACACCCTTTGTTTTGTTGTCCCTTTATTCCCCTAAAGCCCTCCTTTTCCCTCTAATTCCACCTAAAGTCTTATTGATTGATTGATTGATTGATTGATTGATTGATTGATTGATTGATTGATTGATTGATTGATTGATTTATATCCCGCCCATCTGGTCCAAGGATTTAATCACTGAGTGACTTTTGGCAAATACAGGAGAACCAACTATTTCAAAGATAATTTGCCATTTGTTTGGCTCTCAACAGCATACTAGGGATATTTTTTTAACAATAACAACTGGGTTTTGCTTGACAGGGCACATCGGACCATTACATTTCTCAAAACTCAAACCAACTTTATTTATTTGGGTTTCAAAGTAATAACTAACTGAAAAATGTAGCTTTACCAAAATCTAGGATGCGAGCCAGATGACTAGGATCAGAGTTTGGAAAATTTAGTTCTTTTACAAGTCCAAGCACCTCCAGCCAGCATAACCAGTGAGAGGTGCAGTCAAAAACAAACAAACAAACACACACCTCTTCCAAAGTCCAATAAGGATACTTTTCAGGAACTAGTTAAGTTGATCTAAGTACAGCAAATCTGACCTTTCAAATAAATGAAGTTACACCAGTGAATCCCCCCCCAACTTCCTTGCTTACCTCCAAACAATTAATGTATTGACTGGATCACTTCCTGAGAAATATAGAATAATTTTGCAAACTCGCCTATTGATCTAAAACATAGGAACGAGGGTGTGGGTCACATTAGCCAGAAGCACATTCCTGTATTATTGCTAGGGTGCATTAAAAATCACTGGGCTTAAAAACAGAGAGCACTTGTTCCTGAAGGCACAATTTATGTCAGTTGACACATCTATACTGGGTCTGTCTATAGTCAGAAGTACAGTACTTGTTCCCACAATCAGGCCCCGTGCATAAATGCTGCCGAAATCTGGAAACAACCCTAAAACCTCCAGAAACACTCATATGGGGGCCATCAAGTGCCATGAACCAATTTCTAGATATCCCATAGCTAAAGCTTTCTTATCTCAAGTATTTCTTGTTCTTTATTAAAGTCTTTAGCACTCTACAATTTGAGTCAGATTTAATCTCTTATTTGAATGAG